GGTTTGGGGTTCAGGACTAGAGTGTTTCTTTCACTGGCTGTGGGTTTGGTGTCAGGGTGCTAGATTTAGTGCTCAGGGATTGGTTGGCTCTTAATGAGGGACAGAGTTGGCTCTAGTTTCAGGGACAAATTTTCACTGGCCCATTTTTAGGTTTTTGGCTCTAGTTTCTTCCACTGGCTCTGGTTCCAGGGCCAAAGTGTGCTTCTTTGGCTCTGGTTTCAGAGTTGGGGTGTGCTTGTTAGGTTCTGGGTTGAGGGCTAAAGTGTTTCTTTCACTGGCTCTGGTTTCATGGCCAAGGTGGGCTTCTTTTACTAGTTCTGGTTTCAGGGCCAGGGTAGGTTTCTTTGGCTGACCCTTTCACCCTACACCCAAACTATGAACTAATAAAGTACTTTAAAAATGAATTATAAATCTTCTGATGTTGTGTTAACGCAACCCAAACCAGACATACCTTGTTCAGTTTTCTTCACAGTTACATTAAAAAAAATGGGACAAACTAGAAATAAAATTTTCCACTCTACCTTTCTACTGCTCATTTCATTGAATTTGAGTCTTGTTCTATCTCAGGGTTTATAAAAATATATAATATGGATAAGGAAAGAAGTGATACCTGTATGTCATTTCTCATGGATACTCATGGTATGGACTTGATAACTTTAGAAATCAGAGTACCTTTTCTTGTGATAACTGGAAACTATAGCATTTAACTATATGTCCAGAATGCTCATACAACCATCATCCAATCTCCTGTGCTAGGGAAGAAGAACAGGGCATCTCAGGACATCATTGAGAAAGAATGAATGGGCTTCCAATTCCAACATCCCTCCTTCACAATCATAAAGTATAGAAACCCCAGGAAAAAGTAAAGCAGACAGATTCGAAATTGTGGCTGTAGTAATAGTAGTTGGTGGCATTCATAGTTTTAGAAACAAAGATTTCTTGTTAATCAGTTACAAAAGAATGCACATCTATGCCAAATGTGAAAAATGACATAGTTAATTTTTTAGTTAATTTTCTATCTTTAAAATGTTACTGTGCAAGATTACATATATATGATACATGATACATATGATGTATCATTACCCTCTCCTTTCTCCCTCTTTTTCCCTCCCAATTGCCTACGACAAGATCTTTTCATGCCATCCTCTGTAGTCTAAACTTGCCCCTAATGTGGAATCCTTCTGCCTCACACTCCTAATGGTAAGGTTACAGATACAACCAGATACAAGCCATCATATGCAGTTCAATAAATATTTTAGAATACATGAGGTTACACTGGTTGCCAAAGAGAAGTATCTTAACATAGCAAGCTGCTGTCCTCGGCTATAACATCAGCAATAATGAAGTGAAAATCTGGTAATACCTAGTTTGATGTGGCCGTGTGAAACTGAGGTTGAAAAGGTAGAATTTTAAAGAAGGTATTCTACAATAAAACTCATTTATATTTCTGCAAATGAAAGAAAGCAAGGTCTTCCTGACATTAAACCTCTGGACTAAACAGGCTTAGACTTCCGAGGCTTCTCACTGAGACACATATATCACTGTCCTAGGGCCTGATGCTACAGGTGTACCAGAGCTTAGAGGTACAGGGAATAATTCGTGCTTTCCCATGAGCAGGTTGACCTCCAAGATGAAGAAGCATTCTCTGAAACTCAACAAATGGGTTGCATGGAAATTGACATGGCTTATTTTAAAGATCAAACACTTAATCTATCCTTTAATCTCATATCAGGGCAAGAGTACATAGGATGGGACATTCACTGCAGCGCTGTTTATGATTACATTCAAAACAATATCCGTGTCAATTTCCATGCAGCCAGAGTTCATGTGCAGCCAGTCATTCCACTTCACAACACAATGTATTAGGGGCCAGCACAGCATCCTTAGCGAGAGATTATTTCCTGTGGATTAGGGTGATGAGGGGAGAGAGAGAGAGAGAGAGAGAGAGAGAGAGACAGAGAGAGAGAGAGAGACAGAGAGAGAGAGAGAGAGAGGACATGTAGTAGTTTGGGTTATACCTGGACTGGAGACAGAGACAAGATTCAGAGGCAGATCAGATGCAGAAAACTTCCAGAGGAGGAGGCCCTAGCAAGTGAAATAGGATAGCATAGAGGGGGATTGTGATGAACCAATGCCCTCTCGCAAGTCAGAAAACCTTCCTGGTGAGAGTCTGTGGAGTCAGACCAGTTCTGACAACAGGCCTATTAACTTCTGGGTTAGTTTTGACCTCAACACTCAACCTCTTTGAGTCTGTTTCCTCTCCCATAACCATCGCAGAAATTAAATCCAGTCAAACCAGAGCCAGAATGCTCGGGTTCGATCCTTGGCTGTGAAGTTGCTCTCTCAGCCTTTCTCATCAAGAGGGCAAGGTGAATAGTTTGCCTGCCATCCATTTGTGAAAAGAAGAGTGGATATAGGGTCGATCTCTCAGTGAATCTGCCCTATCAAAAGAATCAATCAATCAATCAAGAAAATACGTCAAATGATGAGGTAATGCGCCCGGGGACTTTGCATCCTATGAGATACCAAAGCAAGGTCTCTACTCCCAAGGCAAAGGTTCAGAACCTGCCAGCAGTCACCAAAATAACATTCTCAATATGACAAAATATGGGGTGAGAGATTTTGGCTAGCTAGTACCATAGGCTGATATACAGATAATTGTCAAAGGTTGACCCCAGAGAGATCCATACTTCAAGGAGCACAAAGATCCAAAAACATGGATATAATATACCTAGGACTGTCTTCACATCCACACTGTTCTGGACCCAGGCCTACTCTTGGTGTATTTCTCTAACCATTTGAATCCATTTAGATCAATAACTTGAAATCAGAGCCTTTTGACTGATACTAAGCTACAGACTTTATGCATGTTCTAAAAAAATAGAACAAAAAGTTTCAACTCCCATTTCATCCTTTGGCATAGTTCATTCTCCACTTATTGTTCTATGCTGTTGTTGGAACTTGACTGGAGCAAAGGCAGGGAATTGCTATCAGTGGAAAGGGACATGTTGCTTGCCATGGATGCATCAACCACAGAGCACGGTTGTCATTATGCTTGGGTTATGTTGCTATTAGAATTTGAGCTATTAGAAGGACAGGAGAGATGGCTCCGTGATTAAGAACACTTGTTGCAGGGCCTAGATTCCCAGCACCCACATTGTGACTCACAACTGTTCTTAACTTCAGTACCAGGGAATATGATGCCCCTCGCTGATTTTCATGGGCACCAGGCCTGCACATGGTGCACAGACATACATGTGAGTAAAACATTCATACATATGAAACAAAATTCTAAAAAGAAAAAAAAGAAAATGAAGAAAACTTGCTGATAGATTCATTTGAGCCTGGCATAGTAGTTGTTTAGCTCTTTTTCTCATTACTATGAATACATACCTGAGAAGGAGCAAGTAAAGAAAATAGGGGTCCCTTTTGTTATGGTTTGAGGGTAAGCTTCATCCTGGAAGGGAGGCCCTAACATACTGGTCATGCTGCATGTGTAGTAGGAAGCAGGAAAGGTGAAGGCTGGTTTTCTCCTTTGTGTTTGGTCTGGGACCCCAGTCCACAGAACGATGCAGCCCACACTCGGGGTGAACCATCCCTCCTCAGTGAAGTCATACGCCAGAGGTTTGTCACCTCATTGAATGTGGTGGTTCATGCTCATTTTCAACCCCATTGAATCTAGAATCACTTGGGAGAAGGGCTACTGCGCATGCCCATGGGGATGCTCTTGATCGTGCTAATTGGGAAGACCTGTCCACTGAGGGCGGTGTAATTCCCCGGCTCGCAAGCATCGCTTTGTTTTCTGACTGTGATTATGATGTGACTATTTACCTCATGCTCCTGCCATTTGACATAACCCCCGCCACCCCACAAATAATAGATTGGATTCTGGAAGTGCCCTCCAGAATAAAGCCTTTGTCCCTAAGTTATATAGATCAGACACTGAAGAGACTCCAAATTCAGTCATCATGCCTGGTAGATATCTACAACTCCCCGTAGACATGAGTTGAGATTTACACTTTTCTCTGTCCAGAAGTGTTTTAATATTTGAGAATTTTTAAATACTTAAAAATCTGGTCTTGCTTTCTGGGAGGGTAGAAAAAAAAACCAAGGCAGGTGCGTGCTAACTGTTCAAGAGGGAAGTCCTCATAGCCTTGTGGGATGAGGTCGCCTTGGGGTATCTTTGAGCAGAGAACTACTGAAAGTTTTGAAACTAAAGGTACCCTGATCTTTCTCAGCCCTCAAGATGATTGCTCCAAGGAGGAAGAGTATGGAAAAGTTGAGCAGAGTTGTTGACAGGCTCATGCAGACCAAGAGAAGGAAAATATTGTTTTGGGACCATTAAAGGGGAAACAATCCTAGCTCTGAAGATTTTATCATTAGCAGGAGTTATTTACAGGAATAAAGAGAAGCAAACCCAAAATCTGAAAGTAACCAAATCAGCTACCAATTCAACCTAGGCTGCCTTCCCCTTGCTGCCAAACCGAGTGGGGTCCTTTCTAGAGGAGGGTAATTCTCAGGCTCCCACTTTCTCAGGACATTCATCATGCAGTCTGGAACTCAACCAAAAATAAACCACCAAGTAAACATGGAGAGCAGGTGTCAGTAAAGGAAGCAGAAACGGAACTAGGCACAATCAGGCATGGGCGTGAACTGTGATCGCGTTCTCAGGCTGAAAAGGCGTGCCTCAGCAGAAAGCTAGAAACTGTGTGTACAGAAAAAAGGACAGTGCAGAGTAAAACCATCAGAGTGGAAACTTACACATTCAAACAAAGGTTCTAATGCAAGAGCTACAGCTAACAACAACAACAAAATTACTACAAGATAAATGGGATTGTTAGCAATATGGAGAAAATGGTCTTTCATCGTGATGAACAGCGGGTTAGCTTTGGGGAACTAGTTGGTTGGCAAAGCTACAACCTTCCGTACAGCTGTTGCCTGGAGTCAGCACCGACTCACGTGTGTTTGGTCCTAGTGTGACGCAACAAAGGCCTAGAGCATCATGCACGTTTAGTCCAGCACTGTAGCACGGGATGGTGATGGTTTGGGTTATCACTGTCGTTATACAGCCGTAATGTCCCAAAGACAAGCATGGGAACAGCGGAATGCCTCTTCGGACTTTTATGACTCGCTAACTGCACAGGTGCACCTTGTTATTTTTTTCTCTTGGAATTTAAGAAAGAAAATGGTCAGAAGGCTCCCCTGCTGGCCCCGCCCATCTCTAGCACAGCTGGTGCCATCTTCCACTTTTGGGGAGTCCATTCCAGGGGCTAACTTTTTTGATATGTAAAACAGGAGAATGCCTTTGATGAGATCAAACTGTTTTCCCGTAGGGTCAGCACATCTGAGACAGTTCTTCCTCTGACGCCCCCTGGAGATGCCTTTTGAAAGTTTTGTTATCATCCTGCGGGCAAATCCCTGGCCCACTGGAACCCAAGAACCACTATTTTGTTTCAAGGACTTCCTGTTTTCCTCTGGAACTTGAAAACCCTTTAGACAGCCTGCAGCAAATATATTCATAATAAGAAATGTAAGAAAAGTGGACCTCCCTGGGCTTGTGGGGTCATTGATCAACTCTAAAATACTTGAAGCATGAACTCTGAAGGGATGCAAAGGTTGTGTTTAGCAGTGTTTAGCAATGAATTTACTTGGAAGAAAGGTGCAGGTGAGAGAGGTACGTGTACCTGTGTGCCTATTTAGTTCATAAAAGATAGTATGTCATCAGGGCTGTGTTCCTCACTAGAAATGATCCCTTGGCATCTCCCAGTGGTGACACCTTCCCAGGGTTGATGGACAGCTAATGGGAAAGTCTAAGGTACTGGCCTGCCTGCATTGTATGGGAGATCTGTCAGTCATGTGTGCTACATGGGTCGAATGGGTCAGAAATAGATGACAGTCTCGGTATTCTCCCCATTGTCTGTCTCCTGAAAGATGGATGACAGCGGTCAGATTCACTTCTATTTTGCTGATAGGATACAGCTAACTGTTACGACAAGCACACTTCCGTAAACTGCCTAGGCTCCAGCCCTCTTGTGACCTACCAATTACAAATCTTGGATAAAGCACACTTAACATGCTTTAGTTGAACTCCGTGTTATATCTGAGTCTACGGAGATTCAATGCACACCAATGGGACTTTGAGCACTTGTTCCAGGGCTCCTGATCATGAGCAAGTGGCATGCACTTAAAATTTTCAGGACTGGGAATTGAATCCCAACTCCACAGTGTGTAATTTGTTTTTCTCTAGGATAATCAATCTTTTGAAATCTGAAACTCCGTAACACAAAGCCGTTAAGTCATAGATTATTTTGGGAGATAATTAAAAAGATTACATTTAAAGCCCCAACGTGTGCCCTTGGGCTAATGATTCTTCCATTTGCTTTTCTTCATGGGACTGTGGAAGTTACACCCTCTGTCTCAGAGAGAGCATATTTTTTTGTACCTTTTGACTCACATACCTGTTACTACACTAAGGTCCAACTGCTTGCTCCACAGAAACTAATGGATGTGCTTGAGACGAAAATGAAGAATTAAGTGTGTCATGTCGTACAAATGACATTTTTTCCAGAGGCTCAGTTTGCTCCTCTGTTAATAAATGAAGTCAACAGCTGAGGTTAATGACATCAGACACCACAGAGTGACAAGAAATGGTTCTATGGTTCCATCACTTGCTCTCCTGCACAAACTGAGACATGTTGAGATTTAAATCCTTTTTTCTGAGTAATAATTCTAAACATGCTATTCAAGGACATTCTCTTTTCTTCATGAGAACAAAGCATTCTAAAACAATGTAAAGGAACTGCTAATTCAAGACGGAACACTGAATGCACATATCCATAACCCCACACTAAAATACCAGAAAGGGGATTTGAAACTGAAGTAGCCTCATAGAGTAGAAACTGTAGATGACCCTTCCGGATCAGGTTAGGCAGAGGGTGTCCCATATCCATGTGTCTTCCTCCCCCATGAAGGGAGGGTGAGAAGAGTTATTGTCTGGGCGGGGTGTTTCCAGGATCTCGGTGCTTTATTCAAAGAATGAAAAAGCACGCACAGATTGTAAAATGACAACATCCAAAAACAAAGCCATAGTGAAGATTAGACGCCCTGGAGACACGGGCATGGGGTATCCCTTTTGGGCGAGGAGCTAAACTTGCCAGGGGAAGAGTTAAAGTTCCATATGCAGCTCACATTTGTGGTCCATACCATCTTCCTGTTGGATGTTCTTGAGGGGGGAGGGATGGGGAAGAAGACGATTACCAAAGTGATGGAAGGTAAGTTTCTGAGGCTAATGAAAATTATCACTTTGAAGATAAAAAGTCTTGCTGAGAAAGGTGGACTATTAGAAACAGTAGGGCTCTTCTCCAGCAAGAGGAGGGTGATACCTACAGAGTCACATAGAAAACCCAGTTGCAAAGACTTCAGACTCTCTGCCTTCTAGAGTCTGCCAGAAAACGAACCACCAACTTCACGTCACAGGGAAAACTCAATGGAACTTTAAAACTTGCCTCCCAGTAAGTCAAGGAGGAGAAGATGAACAATGTATTGAGACAGGAAAACTCAGGCAGTTTCCCACTATAGACCATTTCCCAGGAAACTGTGTAAAAATGGACACCACCAAGCCAGAAAAGAAGATCTCTCATGGTACAGAGATGTGGAAGGAGATCTCCCATGGCAGAGCAATATGGGAAAGGAGAACATTTCCCATGGTAGAGAGATGTGGAAAAGGAGATCTCCCATGGCAGAGCAGTGTGGGAAAGGCAGAGTTACAGAATCAGGTTAGGAACCCACTCAGAAGCAGCTGTGAGCCATGCCTCTAAGTTAGGATAGGAAACACACACTTATGTAGAAAGCAGGCTGTCTTCAAGTAAAACCAGAATGGATTTGACATTACCAACAGAACACAGAAATAGATGGAGAGCCAGTTCTGCTCTGGGGTGGAAAGGGTTTCTTTTCTCGAGCAGGAAGAACAAGGTGCACACTCCTCAGGACACACACACACACACACACACACACACACACACACACACACACCAACAGAATGGAGACTGGAGCTTGATATGTCCGAGAGATGAGAATGTCCCAGATCTTTGCAGGAAGAAACTCCCCCCACCTGCAGCTGGATCACAGTGGGACACCTGTCACAGAGAGAAGACATGATAGCTTTAAATTGCTACAGATCTAAATCGTAGTAATGTATGCTGTATGTATCAGGTTCAATTCTAAGACTGAACCTCTAGGCAGTGAGTGCTTCAAACACTTAATCATGGTGATGCTGAGCTCAGAATCTTTCTGTTACTTAACAGCACTGAAGCTGATATATCAGGTGGTCCATGGGAGCTGGAAAGGAAAAATAAACTGTAAAGAAACAACTCAATGACCAAGACTCCAAGCTAGTGTTAAGCACCCTGCTTGCAGTGGTGACTTCACAGCCTCTCTTGGGAGGGTCATCATCCAGCTTGCCAGAGCTAGTACTGACCTGGGATGCCACCAGATGTGTGACTTCAAGGACGCCGGGCAGGACCCCATGGAAAGGGCCCTGTTTCCTTCCAGAAGGGAACCCAGCAACTCCATAACCCCTCCCATCTCCATGTCCATGTCTCAGCTCATAAACCCATCTGTGCCTCTTACTCATCATCAAAATTTTGACTCAAGAACTAAATGCCGTAAATTTAAACGCTAGGAAAACACAGAACTTTTGCTCTTCCCACCTGACCTTTGTGTGGCCCCAGGAGAGATGGCACCCTCAAACATTTCAACCAAACTCTGCTTTCAACTGGAGGAAAGCACAGCTCCCCAGCACAGGGGCCACTTGTGTAAGAAAGTGAAGGGTTTCATGAAACCCAGAATGGTCAGTTTCAGGATGGAGCCAGGTTGCTCAGATCGGCTGGTTTGTATTCTGCTTGCGTTCTCTGTAATTTTATTTTTAGTTCTGGGATGAATAGCTTATTTTGAAGGTAGCCTTTTGTAGCCCTTGGAAGAAGAAGCCTTTAGCACAGGGCTGTGGGTTCCTGGTGTATCTGTCTTGGCCACTGCTGGGCATCACCACTGCGTCTGGGCACCCTGAGAATCCAGCTGTTTTCAAATGCACAGGTTTGTATCCAAATCAAGCCCTTCTCCCGACTCCCACAGCACTGCTTCCCTGTTTCAGACTTAAAATTGCTCCATGGGCTCTCCCTCATTCTTAAGGCACAAAATTTGGACTCCTTGCTTGCTCTCACAGTCCCTTAAGGCGACAATGATGTGCAGGCCTTGTCTCTGTCTTGCTGTGTGTCCTGTCTATTACTGACACCATTTGGTCCAGCTCTCATTTACCATAATCATGCTTGGGCTCCTAGGACATCTGTATGGATGTCCACTCATTGCTTCGCTCATTAAGGAAGAATCTGAGTTGTGTTTCTAAGTCCTGTTTCCCTCATTAGGCATTGTTGGGAAATCTATTTTTTTTTTTCTGCAGCTGTTTACTCCCGCATCCTTGTCTTCAACCATCATACATTTTTCAGTGCCTGGACACCTAATGAGACAGTCAGAAGATGTCTCCAAGCGACCTGACTTCCCAGGCTGTGACATGCCTGGTTTGGATTTTCAATTAAAAGAAAGTTGAAAAGAGAGAGAGAAGAAAGCAAGCACGTAGTTAAGGAGCACCAGGGTCTTGGCAGAAGTTGTTAAATGAATTATTTAATGAGCCACTTTGATGCAAGGAATCTGGCTCTCCTGGCTTTCGCTTCCTGTGCAGTCTGGGTAGCAACTTCCTAGGGCTTTGTTGTGCACTCATAGGAGGGGCCACCACATCCATGGGGGACTTGAGAAATCTGCAAGATGAATGGTTTGTGAACTGAGAAAAGGTTCTGCTTGGAAATGATCTCCCTGTAGGAAGAGGATATGCCTGGGAACGCTCAATAGCCCACGTGAGGATGCAGAACAAGTGGCTTTCTTTAAAACAAACAAACAAACAAATAAAAAAGCTCAAATCCTCATCTCTATACACAGACACACACACACACACACACACATATTCCTCAGTGTGTGTGTATGTACACATGTCTCTATGTGTGTGTACACACGTGTATCCCTTTCTCTCTGTGTGTAGGAACACACATTTGGGTGCCCGTGGGAATCAGCAGCAGACCCCTGGAGCTGGAGTTACAGGCAACTGTGAGTTGTGAGCTGCCTGATGAGGTACAAGCCAACTCAGATCCTCTGCAAGTGAAGCATGAGATCTTAACCACTGAGCATCTCTCTAGCCCCCAGGGGTGACTTTCTTTAACAAGCAGTCTGATTTGAGCCCAGGGCTTCATGATCCAATAAACTTAAACAGCTTGAGATGAGTAAGGCAGCACCCGGATTTCAGCACTTCATGTTTAATCTCTTTAGTAGCACATTCAGAATGCATTATCATACTCTCTGGCTGTATCGAACATCTGAGCTACCTGTTTAATTTGCAACCTCTTGGGTCAAGCATGTGACTAGAGGACCATGGGAAAAGACATAGAAACCTGGAGGACCAGAAGCTGCATGGTGCTGGGTTTGAACAACAGTGCCCACTG